CAATCTATGGCTGCAAAGGAGGGTGGCAGGCAAAGCGACTGTATCATAACCAAAATGCTGAGTTCTGTTATCTACTGCACCACACGTACACACACACTGCATCAACGGTCTCAATTCACAATGATGACACGGAAAATCTACAGAAAAAGCAGGCATTACTCACTGGGTTTTATTCTTTAGCTTCTTCAGCGTGTAATTCTTTACGCTTTACAACGTAGCAGGTATGAAAGGAAACATCTCCCCTTTATTCCACTGATGCTGCTGTTTGAATACCATTAGATACCAAGGACAATGGGCAGGATCAGCTCGAACATTAAGAGCAAATATTTAATGGAAGACTGGTTCCCCCCGTCTCTCCCTTTCACATCTCTGCCTCATGCATCCAGGCACGGGTGGTACTGGCTCCCTTGAGAGGCTGTAGCTAGCAGCTGAGGCACAAACTAAAACATGGCATGGATGGCAAGGAGCTGATGTCACAAAAAACAAGCATTTCTCTGAGAAAACCAGCAATTCCATTAGGGAAGTCCTACAAATCAATAGGAATTGTTCGGCTGAACGTGCTTTGTTACACAACGCACTGCAGCACCGAGTGATAAATCAGATCAAGATCTGTCGGCGTAAATAAGCGGAGACTCCAGCAACTAAGTTATAAAACTGCCAATCAGACACGATGCTTTGCACCAGGAAGACTATCACTTACAAGCACAGAAGAGAAATACACACCTCAACATTTCAGAAACAACCTTGTTTAGTATCAACTCCAAAAAAATAGCTCATCTATTAAAATAGTAAGAATATTTTTAAAAACAAAAGGCTGGCCTAAAAGTCTGCCATCTTTATCAAGACAGATTGTGATAAAGTACCCAAGGCTCCAGGCCAGCAGATGCTGGAAGCGCCTATGAGAGGTCACATTCAGGATCTGGGAAGAGATGCAAGATGTTTTAGAAATCCTGCCACCTCACCCACACAGCAGCACTGCCTGTGGGGATGGGTTAACTGGCTGGCTGAAGGTAAAAGGTAATGTTTCTACAACAGCAGCTGCACATTTATAGTAGGAGCTGGGTCTGGCACAAAAACAAAACAAAAAATAAATAAAAAGTGTAAAAACTCAGGAGCAAGAGGACTCCAGAGACAATACAAGTTCAGATGCTGAAGACTAAAATTCTGTCTTGCAGACAGCATCACATCAGTGTAAGAGGGTAGGGTCTTCAAGCATGAAAAAGAACTTTAAGGCATGCAAATAGAACCAAAATACTGGTCACATGGTTATTCCATTAACGGATTACATGCATTTATTTCAAGCTTTGCTGGCTGGTACAATCTCAAAAACCGTATCGATTTCACAAAGGTCCAGGACAGACAGCAACTGTATTATTACATTTCAATATCAATGCAAAACATTCAGTATGTATTTCTGCACCCTTCTTCCAAAGTATTACTGTTCTGAAGGAACTGTAAAAGAAACCCACTCCAATTCCACAGAAATTCACTGCAAAATATTTGCAATTCAGAAGATCACACACTATTAGAGTCACTCCATGACCTAGTATGAACAAGTCTGAACAATATATTGCAAATGAAATTATTTAGCAATTAAATATTTTTTTTAAAAAAATCCATTTCAAACTATCTGTGATTCTGTAACAAACGAAGTCCACATGTAGAGACTGCTAATTTAAGTAGAAGTCCATTTTCAACAGAGCAACTAGTTAACTGTTTATTTGACTCTGGAAATAACTGGAGGCAAACTTCATCTCCTTTGTAGTGTAAACATGATGTTCTAGAAAAGTGCATATGTAATATCCTCATTTTTTAAAAGGATCTCCTATGAATGTAACTATGGTGATAAAGCCACATACAATCAAAAAAGAATTTGCAACATACCAAACATTTTCTGAACAAAGGACAATATTTTAGTCCTGTCAAAATAAATAGTCCTTTAAATAAACCATATTACCAATATCAGTAACATTTCCATACAGTCCAAGCACAATGCAGGTGTTTGTTGTACGCTTTTAGCTAACAAGTAATAACACTGAATGCATGTGTACGTGCTAATGACACAATTTCATAGGTCTGTTGTAAAAAGATTTGAAAATAGTTACAACTAGGCCACAACACCAGACTTCCATGCAGGCCCAATGGATGCAAAGAGGCAATATACACTGAATTAATTCATGTGAAATGAAAAGCTTCTGCGAAACCTGACTAGGAATCACTTACTGAGCACATCCTACTAAACAGGCTTTTTAAACAAAGTATGATGCAACACGACCTGTAAAACCATGGAGGGAGAAATACCCTACAGACAGAATAACCAGGTCATCTGAGCCACACTAATCTATGCGCTTCTGTAGCTCATCTCACGGTTTGAGATAACTGAAACATCCAACAAATTAACACAAAAAACTTTTGTACTAAAATATCTACACTTTTAATGAGATCATTACATCGCAGTGAACTTTATCATGCCAAATTATTTGCACAGATATCCTTTAAAGCAACAGCCTTCTTTTTCCTGCAGTTAGCTTACTTTTCTGGCCAGTATTTCACACTAGTTTGCTTCGTGTTTTCACAAATAAGGCCAAGTAATTGTATTTGGGACTAGCACCAGTCTAGACTGGTACAACATGAGCGCTTCCTCCTTCTCTCTTTAAACAGCTACAGGAAAGGAAGCACAGCTCGAGTCAGCCACTTCTTTCCGTTCTTGTATTGGGAAAGCAGGGTGGCACAGATGCGCATGAGTTCACTCCCTACAATTTTCATCCAACAAGTTAGAAGCAAGACAGAAAAAAATAAAAAATAGATTTCAGCATGTTGCGGAACAGTCCTGAACACTGCAGTGATGCCAGACTTGGTTGTTCCATTCTTTGTTGCAGAATTGATGGGGAGAGGCACCCCAAAGTTAGAAATTTAAATAAAATAACCATTCTGGCTTCACTGAAAGACAGCTGTTTCACAGAGGACAGTCTGAAGACTCATGATGGAGAATTAACACTTATTTATCTCTGGCGAAATCTGCCCTGGTAGAACATTACAAGCATTCTAAGGCTACTTAATCCCCAAAGCCATCACTTTCTTTTACTGTAATTCTCACAAAAGTCAAAGGCATACAAGACAGTGAATTACTCAAACACCCTAAAGCATCATTACCAAAATAAAGTTTGGGAAAAGTAACAAGATACGGGGAAAACCAAAGCTTTCACTGTTGCCAACAGTATTTTCTGTAGACACAGAGGTTCAATTTTTGCCTGCCAATATAAACCTGACACCTTTCCAGGCAAGGGATTCAGTTTAGGACACAACACCTTCTGTAACTCAGGACTCGGAATAAAGCAGTGTTCCTTGTACACAATTCACAAAGAACATAATTAAACCTACAGAACTAAGACCAGTCTTTCCAGAATGATCATGAAAATTGAGCCTGAAAATAATTTCCCATAGTTATTTCCAACCTATTAAACTGGAAAGTGATAGCACAGTAAAACCTATACATTTTCAACGTACAGTAAAATATAACTGCATAGTCTTCACTTGAATTCATGGACAAACAAGCACTGAAATTCAGTCTTTCTTGCTTACTTCAGTAGAACTGTACATTATGTGATATAGCAAGATGGACTGGTTGCCCATTTCCTTGTTGAAACTTCAGCAAAATTAGTCAGAAACCCACTGAGCTACTATTCTGATAGACACAAGAAACTACACAAACAAGAACACTAAAAAAGGCATGAAAAAAATCTCAGAGGTATGGAAAACAGTATATTGGAAACAGCCACATAAATGCTTGCTTGGCTTATCCTAAAAATAAACCAGGTAGACCACATATATTTCTTTTCTTTTTCTTCTAAGAAAAAGAGTGTCTAAAGGAAAATTATTTGTTTAACACTTCTAATCAGCATAGAAAACAGTCTTTATTTTCTCTAATTGGCTGAACAAGGACAGCAGATAGTGTTGTACATTTTTTTTCCTACAACTTTAGTAACCTGGTCACAACATGAGAACTTGTCTGCTTTTTACATTTAGCCTTTCTTCTACTGTAGTTTAAATGTAAAAATCCATATTTAAACTCTAATATTTCAGTACTTATTCTATCTCCATTTTCTAAATTTCAGTAAAAGTTCTCAATAGAGCAATTATTAGTATCAACTAGGTAGTATCCTCCTAGTATGCATTATTTGTTTTTATCAGCAATTAATTTTATCTGTTCTTGTATCTTCCACAAAGGGCAAAGGTCCTTCAATTCTTCAGTTGACTTTTACTCATCCTACTTGTGACTACCCAAGCACCATTTGGTAACTGGCACCCAATTATTCACGTTCCTTTCCCTCACATCTGCAAAGATATGAACTAATGTACTGATGATATACTTCCATAACAAAAAGTGACCATGGAGCTATTTAATCCTTCTAGCCCCGTGCAGTTTACGTTACTGAAGTATAGGTAAACCACATCAATCACATATGCTTCCTCTGGAGGTTTATCTACCTTTCATGGGATTTTAAGACATTAATACAGCTTTTTTTTTTTTTTTAAACACACAAAGGTTATCTCCTGCTTCTTCGGTACGTCAATTCTTTTCTCTGCAAGTTAAGAAACCAAAAGAACTACAAAAGCAAAGGACCACATTCAAATATGCATCTAAAATCCTGACCTCTCTTCCTTCCACTATATCAGCTACTGGAAAACAGTATTAATCCTCAGAAACATAAAACAGTACCATAATGTTGATATATATAATTTCTCCATTGATAAAATATCAAACATTTTACATTCTATTAAGAAAACACAAAACAGATACACATATATGTAACACTAGCTTATGAAAATCTTTTGATAGATTTCTTCTCCATGTGACTGCAAAAAATTAAGCTAAAATTTAGTAACATTTCAGTACTCACTATCTTCTCCTGGACAAGGCATGCCGGGTTTCTCAGGAATACTTGGGAAAACTACAACAAAAACATTAGATTTTTAAGTGAAAAGATTTAGTAGTACTTTCTCCTTGATTCTTGAATATATTTAAACAAAGACAGTTTCTGGAAGCCTTTAAATAATTCTGTGTGAGAAATAACATAATCAAAATTTGGGTCCATACCAGCAAGATGTGGACATACCACTTGACAAGAGCATTAACAAACCCACGCAGTTTAGAACTCAAAGCTCCCTCAAAGCCTACTGCATGTTTTAGCTTTGGGCTCCACCCCAAAAAGAACACTTCCTTCTTCACAGTACCCAACTACAGGGCAAAGGCGACAAAGCAGCATGTGATTCGACAGGCAATGGGGTTGTCCCAGTCTCACATTTAAGAAGCTGTTAGGTGGCCTGGTTTTGGCGGGGACAGAGTTAGTTCTTTTTAACAGCTGGAAGAGCTCTGTGTTTTGGTTTTAGTCTGGGACTTGTTGTGAGAGGAACGCTGACAGCGTGCTGATGTTCACTGACTTTTCAGCTTGCTGTGTTCTTGCCAGTGTGCAGGAGCACAACAGGCTGGGGAGGAGGAGCATGGCTGGGACAAGGGGTCCACAACTCCCCATATGGTTTGAATTTAGGATTGAGGGACAAATTGGCCAATGAAGCATTCCATATCATGCAGCATCATGCCCAGTATAAAGAAAGAAGGGCCTTTCCTCTTCGGGGAGCGCTCGCGCTCTCTCTCTCTCTGGCTAAGCCAGGACACCAGGTTTATCAACAAACGCCTGCAGGCTCTCCAGCTGCGTAATACTTGCCGTGAATGATCAGCCCTTCGTCTCTGTTTTGACAGTACAAACGGAAGGCTTCTTCCAGTTCCATCTGCGATGAGATGGTACACGGGTCACCTAACAAAAAAACAACACATAGGCACAGTTATATCTACAGAATTAAGTGGAGAATTTCAAGTAGTAAGAAGTGTACCAGCCTCCATGATGGCTTTTCTTTCAATCATTTGATATTGAGCTAGCATTTTTATCAAAGCCAAAAAGATATCACCACAATTTTTTTCCTTCTAATTTTATCAAAACTCAGTAGATAGAAACACACTATGTTGGCTTGCAAGGGGACATCAAAATAAAAAAGTTACAAGATGTGCTTAAAGATCTTTAACACAGCAGAAAAAAAAAAGCAAGATCACTTCCTATTAATCTGAAAGTTTATGTTTAATTCAAAATTAATTTACCTTTTGTTGAAAGGCCCATGATCTTACCGCCTTAACTTCACTGGCGGCAGAACCATGATATGCCAACTTAATAACTTTTAAGGTACACATAGATTCCAGTTGAGTCTCTCTTGCTACACTGACAGAAAAGCAATCTATGATTAAAAAGTGCAAAAAGTAAGATACACAGATGAAAGTTACAAATGGGATTCGAATATGCTAACACTGATGTAGAAATGTATTTAACCTAAAATTAATTTCTCTCTAAAATTTTCAGGGTTGGCTTTTATGTTTTGAGGGAAATATGTTCATATGTTTCCTTTTAACTTACAAGTAGAAGAAAAGCAAACAGAAGAAAGAAAGATTAAGCCTGCCTAGCCACAAACAACCCTCTCTCTTTCAGAAAAAGATACCTCTAGCCTTAGTTTCTATGACTTTGTATTCTGTACTCACACTCTGGTAGAGGATACAACAAACAGAGCTTTTAAGAGTTCTCATGCCAGACACAATTTAAAGCGTATTCTAAAGAGCCTAACTATAGAAATAGATAAAACAGAAAAACTCCCACACCTCAAACTATATCATTCAGGATGAAATTCACAGGAAACAAAATGAAATAAACAGAGATACAAGCATTACTGCACTCTAAGGCCTGGACTCAGGTACTATGCCTTTTCCACACTTTATCACCACTTATTTGTGACATATACTATCAGATCTATATCAAGAAAACATGCAGGAATGCAAGTATTCAGTCAGACAAGGATACCCCAAAGACATAATAGTAACTAGTAAGATTTGGAAGACTCAAATCTATCTGTGGTATGTACATTAGGGTGCTTAATGGCCTTTAAGCAGTGAAAATAAAGAACTCCATTGCTCCCAAGAAAAGAAAGCCCAAAGATGGCTCTTCTCAGCTACCAGAACGGACTTCAGTGTGGTTTGGAAGTAACAATACGACACAGTGTGATGCTCCATAAAAAAACCCACCAAATTCATTTGTTGGTGCCAGAGAAACAAAGCACTGGAAAAGCTTCCTGGGAGAACTGGAAGCTAAGCCAGAACACACACATTACTGAGACCTGTATTTCAGAAGATGGCCTCTCCAAGGTACAAATTCTAATCAGTTTAAGTGAGAACATTTTGACTTAATGTTGAACGTCTCAATTGCAAGATAATACAGGAATACCTCTCTTGCAGATAGAAATACTGTTTTAACAGTCCATGATTACCTCTAGTGCTCTCTAAATTTATTTGACAGCATATCCCCATCATTCAAGTTTTTTGAGCCCAAACACCCAATATGTATATTTATAATTTATATATATAAAAACATATACAAAGGTAGATATTTTAAAAGGATAAGATAAATATTAAAAAATATTTTTATTAATGGCACAACAACTTACCTCTCAAATTATTAAAAAAACAAAAACAGTAGGCATTTTTCCTCACCACAATGTGGAAAACTTATCAGAAAAAAGTTTCTATGTAATACCTGTTATCTTTGAATAATGGTGCTTTGAATTATCAGTCAAATGGAAAAACACAAAACAGAATTAAAGTGTTCTTTATCTCATGTTTGGTTATTGCATTTTACACCCACAGGGTATTAGCAATCAATTTAGTAGAATGCTCCTTTAAATATAGACAACTTCTACCCTCTAAGTTCTTGAATAGGGCATGTCAGACCATTAATACAACCAACACTACACCAGTGACAATCATGCAGCTGCCAGGGATAATCACCATAGAAAAGAAAATCCATTATCGTTACTGGAATTCTTAGCACCTCCCTTGCACCAAACACAAAATCCTAGAAGAGTTAAAAACAGTTTTCCTATATTACAATTGCATTTCTTCTCAGAAATACTCGTTCAAGAGACAAATCCCAATTCAGAAGATGCGAAAGCCTATGTCTATGTCATTCTGGAAGCTGACAAGTTTAAATACACAAAAAGCAATCTTGTCAAGAATTTGACATTGAGAATTTTGAGGCATGTGGCATTAGGCCTATGAAAGTCTGAAATTAAAACATTCAGCGTGTAAGTATGGAATAGTGAAATATTAAAGTTCTACAAAGCCTTCCCTTCTGCAGAAGTGAATTCAGGTGCAGTACAACCTCCATGTTTCGAGGCTCACTTCTCCAAGCTCCCGGCTTTTTCAGACAGGGTTATGTACCCTGGTATTTGGAAACGAAAAGTAACTCTACAGCACGAACCTTTATACGAGTTTCCTCAAGACCCCTGTTTTGTACCACGATGCACAATAAGCCCAAGGATGCCTAAGTAGTATTTCAGGACAATACCTTCATCATCAATCCACTTCAGGGTAATCGGCTGTTCTTGTTGTAGATTACACATCTCATGCACTTCATCACAAAGTTCGTTGTAGCTCATTGATGCATCCAAGTTTGTTATCAGGATGTCCCTGCATGAGGTGAAATCATAAACTTTTGTCAGAAAAATATCTGCATTAGCCTGCATATTCTAACAATTCCATCTACAGACTCTTAAGTTGCAAAATGATACAGACTCAGCATTCCTCATACAAAATGCTCCCACTAATGTAAATTAGTTGCCAGAAACCAACAGGATTACATCTCTCAGTGTTTAGCTTCTTAAAAATACTTTAGTATGGAGGAATTAACTGTGTTAATGATCTATCTTAATGCATGTTTACTCGCACAAGTCAAGTTCCCTTATTATAACTATCAGCATTTGAAGTGTAAAAAAATATAAGATTTTGTAAGAATTAAATTTTAGCCTGGTACTTCTTCCATCAGGAGTTCAGCAAAATCTCAATTATTGTAAAATCCTTTTAAAATGTAGGTTTTTCCTCACATCTGCTACATTGTTAGAGAGAAAGCTTTAATTAGGTGAATTCTCAAAAGATGTAATTACAAGAAAATTCAGATAAAATCTTACTCAAATTCTGCATTCTTGCGCTCTACCTTTACAGCAGTTTGAGAACATGAACCCAATACTGAACTCTGCTAATATAAACCACATGGCATGCTCGGGCATTTGTGAGAAAACTCTTGCTATAACACAACCCCACACAGTACTTTCAAAGCAGGACAAAGATTGAAAAAAGAAAAGATTATGCAAACCCAAATCTGAGGATACAAACTAGACTTTCTCCTGTTTTCTAAATATTTTTCAAATGACAGACTCAAGGATACCAACTGATTAAACAAGTGCAGGAAAAAGAGATGTACTTATGTTATCTCAGTGCTTTCAAACCATTCTAGGGGATAATTAGGAAACAGTTCTGTAGTTAATGGCTACTGGCATGTGTAATTCTTTCCCCTCTTAGTTTAATACAGTAAGTATACCAGAAGCTTCCCAACATGTGAGGTGGTTTTCCTATTTCCACAGCGTGACAAGTCATTTTAGAAAACACGTTACATATTTTGCCTACTTATGTCTTTAAACCAGAAGCTGAAAGGTACTGCACAAATAAAAATCTTTAATTCTATGACTAATATTTGCATTTTGCCTTTGCTGAGAAAAATTACAGTAAGCAAAGCTCTAAAACAATAATTTTAAAGAACTGTACTGTTTCAACTTCAGATTAAAAGCACTGCTACCTTTTCAAGTGTACCTTTAATCTACAACTTGTAAAGTTCGGAAAGAACAGCAAATTAATAATTCTTTATAATAACAACGGAAAAAGAAACACGTACGCTAACTGCCAACTTGTAAAACCATATTATTGTACAATACTGAGAGCTGTCAGGTGAGGCTGAGTTTAAGAACATCCTCCTGTCGAAAAAGTTGTGGTTTATATACTTGTGAAAGCAAGAGACCAAACCAGTTCCCAAAGCCATGTCTGAGGCCTGGTGCAAGGTGCTGCACCAGGACAAGGTCACGAACAAACGCAGCTCCCTACCCAACGCTCTGCCACCGCAAGCTACTCCAAAATCGAGCAGCTGTAGGGCTGTGGTAACGCTGGACAATCATGCTGTCCCAAGTATCTGAATAATATTCAAACCCTAAAACTATGACAAGGGGCAATGACTTTAAACTGGAAGAGGGGAGATTTCCATTAGATCTAAGGAAGAAATTTTTCACTCTGAGGGTGGTGAGGCACTGGACCAGGTTGCCCAGAGAAGCTGTGGCTGCCCCATCCCTGGAAGTGTTCAAGGCCAGGCTGGATGAGGCTTTGGGCAACCTGGTGTAGTGGAGGGTGTCCCTGTCCATGGCAGGGGGGTTGGAACGGGATGATCTTTGAGGTCCCTTCCAACCCAACCATCCTGTGATGCTATGCATTACGACAATACTCTGCTATGCACACTACAAAATCCAGCTAAAGCTGACAAACACTAATCAGTTTTAAATCATTAAAATTCTTGTAACAGATGGTACTGCCATTTAATAAACTTCATATTGGACAAAATACAGCTGAAGTATGCTGAGCAGCACCTACTGCAGATGTAAACATTAATGAGATGCATTCAAATTGTTACTCTCTCAATGACATCTGTGCTCTTTGAGATTCACTGTGTTTCATTTGCATGTCTCTACAGCCACATCAGGTAATCACAGCACCGACAAATGAACACCATTCAGTGTTTAACACTAAAGAACACGCTTTTCTGGGCAGGTATCTGAAACTGGACACTACAAAGTGATCTGAAGAACTCATGACCAGTAAGTTATGCACGAGCAGTTACAGCAGGAGAATCATTCGCATTGATAGATTAAACGTGTCACCATTTAGAACTAAGCAAATGATACTGCATCGCTGATCTATTTAAATGAAGTGATTTCAAGTAACCAAGAATAAACCAAATAAACTAACCGTAATAAAGAAATAAGAATTACACAAGTTTACTTTCCTTTTGCAATCTACTTACGCAGTTATTTATACTATGCTATGTTAGGAACTCCGTCACACCCAGAAACACGAATACCTCAGATACTGGGGCTCCACAGAGACAGACTCAACATTCACATGTTTTACAACTTCCTCATGCTCAGATTTTTAACTGGGATTTCAAAATGCCATGTTGTCCTATTATTTTAATTTTCTAGCAGCTACCTGAACAAACTTGTCCTTAATTCTGAAGTTGTCCAGCATCAACGATTTCCTGCAGTTTGCCAAATTTGTTCAAAAGATGAGTGTAGTACTTCAATGGCGACACTGAGATAATCAGTTATACCGCCCATAACACCGAAACCAGTCAGCTCTTACTCATAGAATTTGATCAGCAGAACAAAAACAATATTCCTTGAGTTCGGAACTCTTGTTTTGTAAATCAACATATTATATGGTCCACCTTAAGTGAGAAGGGTGAGAGGGAGATTACTCCAGCGACACACCAAAACTGAACGATTAAAAGAAAACATAGTAATGGAAATTACTGAATATAGTGAAGAAGAATCTACAGTAGTAGTTTCTTGTAAAACATCGTAATAATTAACACGTAAATTCCAATACTGACACAAGCATTAGCATCTCCTTTATTAAATATCCAAAACCATGGTGCAGATTAATAACAAAACCCAATTGAGCTGCATTACCTATCACAAACGTGTTTCAGAAATTGAGCAGCAGTAACAATGAAGTAAAAACAAATACATTTTCATACTATTTTATAAGAAAACTGGCATTTACTGAATTAATACAATTGCTCTAGAATTCTAAACTCCAGACCGCAAACTACTTGGTAAATAAGCTTAACAAAAAAGCACTTTGTTTTCAATAGCATTTGGTGGGGTGATTTTCAATTACATTTAATTCAAAATAGCCTTTTTCTACACCACAGTATAAGAACAACCAGAACAGTGACAACATGTACTTGTTTAGCAGTGGAACATCGGAAAAGATGACTCAGGTCACTTACTAAATGTCAGTAAGTTCAGTTTAAATACTTCAAATCAAGTCTAAAAATTTACTTACATCAAATATTTAACTTCTCAAATGTCTTAAACCCAGGCCTTGGAGTAAGAGTAGAGATCAAAGCAACATTAATTTACAAGGTCCTCACAGTGGCAGCAAACTGATTAGATTAAACATGTCTGAAACCCCAAATTACATGTTGAAGTAATAAAAATCTTTCTGACTCTGACAACTGCCTGAATTCATAAAGGAAAATAATTTTTTTAAATCATTGTCTTAAATCAGAGCTTCAAAAATAAGCATTGTGAAGGCAACTGAAGCAGCTGTGTTAACATCTCATTGCCCTTCAAGCTGCATTAATCAAATTACTGGAAGGGGAGCAGGGGAATTAGCTATTAAAAATTAAAAAGGGCAAACAATATAAAAGCTTACTTTTAGTATTTATTCACAACAGGAAAACAAAGAGTGTGGGTTTGATTTATTTTTTTAATCACTTAAAACTGAATCTTCAAGCAGCTTGCATAGGTTCACCTAAATAAGTTGCAATCTAAGCAAAATATATGAATAATCCCAATAGTAATTCCTTCTAAAATTCCTATAAACCAAACAAAAAAGGACAAAAATCAATGGCACCCACTTATTTCAAGACTTGCATATCTATCCACAAAGAAACACCTCCTCTGATTTTCCAAGACCGAAAGTACTGTAAGTTAAAGTAACATCTAAAAACGCCCCCAGGAAAAGGACTCGGATTAAACGTTACACATTTTGTCCCACGGAGCACGCCGGCACAAACTGACATCTGTAAGTGGAAACCTGCACTTCACAGTCTCCTGATAACTTCAGCAGCAACTTGGAGAGTTCATTATTATAAAGATATGACAAATCTTAAATAAAGTGGATGTGACAGAGTGTACTAACTGCATCTGGATGCAAGAGGTGGATCTACACCTGCCTGTGACCATGAACACTCATCACAACCATCGACCCCGAACAAACGTACGCTGGTTTTGCACATCTTACCCCCTTTCAAGAAAAGGGTAAACTATCAACTGTTTTCCACAATCAGCACACAGCAGGAGTCTGGGTGGTGTTTCTAATAGCTCAGAAGTTTACTGACATCATCTGACATTGATTACAAACCCACCAGTGCCCTGGTTACTCTATCACTAGGTCAGACTATGAACTCCTGCTCAATATGCTTCAAAATCAGACAGAACACAACACATAAGAGAACATGCTGACTTACCCACTATAGTGTGTTTTCACTCTGATGAAGTCTTTGTTCAAATCAGTTTTCGAGCCCATTCTGCTAGGCATGTTTTGTATTTAGTAGCCTGAATGAAATTATAAATATATAGATATGATTTCATTCAAGAGAGGGAACTCATCTAATTCCGAAGAAAAAAACTTCAAATGTGACAGATACGTTTCTCCTCCAGATGATTTTCAATCCAACTGCTTAGGGAAAAAAAACCACAGAACACAGATAAACACACATAAACTCTACTAAACAAATGAGATGCGTCAAATTTTATAAATGCAGATAGCTTTACATGGAACAGCAAGAAATCGAAAGGAAAATATACAAAAGCATATACAAAAGCATTGACTTGCACAGAAATTAAATGAGATAAGTTAAAAATACCCTGTACAACTTAGCTGTACAGAAATATCCCAGGCATTTAAGGATGCTTTTTAATAAAATATCTAACAGTTCTCTCTGAGCCAAAAGTACTCCGAAGAAATCTTGACTTATTCATCAACACAGCTTCTGGCTCTTCTCTTCCAAAGCGTAGAGTGTTTTAATCCAAAATGTTTTTTCTGTACATTAACGACTACGAATTGACAAGTTTAGGTGAGGACAGCAGACGAGGAGCTCCGGGGGGCCGTGTGAGTCCCCTTCACGAGTGGAGACTGAAAACACCCCGTTTGTTCACAATTTCCACCGCACACCTCCGCAGACAGCTCCCTACCCGCCGCCCGCGGG